GAGATAGGAGAATTACTGGAATAATGTCCTTGAAAAGGTGAGAGGAGCTAAAGTTTAGTTTCTAAATAGAGGAGTTGGCCTTAGCATGGGAGCCCAGACAGGTTTTTTCCATAAAAAGGCAAAGGTAGAGAATATGGTCACAAATGCTATTAGGTGAGCATATCTGGTGGTGGGAGCTTATGGAAATGCTCTTCCTTGTTGCTTTTTATTTTCTCATTGAAATAGATAGAAAGCCATAAACTGACCATGAGTTTGGGGAGGAAGTGGGTATTAAAAGTTTGAGGAAAGCCCACCTGGCATGGCTTAGTGGTTGAGTGTAGACCTATGAATCAGGAGGTCATGGTTCAATTCCCGGTCAGTGCACATGCCTGGGTTGCCAGCTCCAATCCCCAGTGTGGGATGTGCATGAGGCAGCCGATCAATGATTCTCTCTCATCATTGATGTTTCCATCCCTCTCTCCCTCTCCCTTCCTCTCTGAAATCAATAAAATATATTTAAAAAAGAAAAGTTTGAAGAAAGAGGCAAAGCTATAAAATAGTTTTCTAGGAGAATGGTAGAATGAACAGTAGTAAGATTGCCAGGCAGCATTAAGTACCTACTTGAAATTCGTTGTTCTAAAGAACTAATCTCTTTGTTGAATTTAGTGATTATCTTTTCCTAAACTTTAGTTTTTTTCATAGATTTTTGTTTCCCTGTAGATGTGATCCATTGGTTTCTGTTCCTTTGGAAATTCTCCACCATTTATGGCTTGTGGATGGCACTCTTTTTTTAGTTTTACTGTAGTGTTAGAGTGGATGTATATGTTCCTTGTTATCATGTTGATTTAGTCTCTTAGAATTTTTTATCTGCATGAATAATGCGGATTAACATTATAAGAGAAAGGTGACTGAGTGATTTTTGTTGTTAATGTTTAGCATTGACAAGGAGGAGAAGGGGTTTTTGTTGATACGTCTTTAGAAGCAGTGACAGAACTATCCAGATTTCAGACTTTGAATGCATCAGTAGTCAATAAATCTACATATTAGCATATCTGAGTTGTCTATTCATAAAATCACTTTGGAGATTGTGGTTCTTAGCAATTCTTATTTTCCTACTGTTTCCTAGCTGATCTCAGTGGAATAATTTTCAACTCTACTTTCTTTTTTTAATAAATATATTTTATTAAAGAGAGAAGAAGGGAGGAGAGATAGAAACATCAGTGAGAGAGAAACATCATCAACCGGCTGCCTCCTGCACGCCCCCTACTGGGCATCAAGCCCACAACCCGGGCATGTGCTCTGACTGGGAATCAAACAGGGACCTCCTGGTTCATGGGTCGACGATGCTCAACCACTGAGCCACACTGGCCGGGCGGCTCCACTTTCTTTTTTTTTTAATATATTTTATTGATTTTTTACAGAGAGGAAGGGAGAGAGATAGAGAGTTAGAAACATCGATGAGAGAGAAACATCGATTAGCTGCCTCCTGCACATCTCCCGCTGGGGATGTGCCCGCAACCCAGGTACATGCCCCTGACCGGAATCGAACCCGGGACCCCTCCTGGTTCATGAGTCGACGATGCTCAACCACTGAGCCACACTGGCCGGGCGGCTCCACTTTCTTAATCAGTGAAGTACTTAATATCTTTACACTTCAGACTTGGTGATGTTAATTCTAACCATGGAAAGGTAGTTACTGAAGATAACAGTGCCTTTTATTTTTTTTATTTATTTTTTAAAATATATTTTATTGATTTTTTTACAGAGAGGAAGGGAGAGGAATAGAGAGCTAGAAACATCGATGAGAGAGAAACATCGATCAGCTGCCTCCTGCACACCCCCCACTGGGGATGTGCCCGCAACCAAGGTACATGCCCTTGACCGGAATCGAACCCGGGACCCTTCAGTCCACAGGCCGACGCTCTATCCACTGAGCCAAACCAGTTAGGGCAACAGTGCCTTTTAGATGTTTACTTTGTCTCTGCTTATGTTTCTATTCTTCTGTTTACTTTTTTAATATATTGATTGCAGAGAGAAAGGGAGAGGGAGAGAGAGATACAAACATCAATGATGAGAGAGACACATTGTTTGGTTGCCTCCTGCATGCACCCCGACTAGGGCTAGGGATCAAGCCTGCAACTGAGGTATGTGCCCTTGACTGTAATCGAACCCTGGACCTTTAAGTCCTCAGGCCGACGCTCGATCCACTGAGAAACTATATGAAGAATAGACTTTGTTTTGTTGATATATATAATGCTGATATCAATTGGCCAAAGAATCTGCAAGTTCAGTTTATTGAGAAACATCTGTGGGCTTACTGTGTGTGAATATGATTAAAACAATCAAATTTATTCTGTTAAAGGTTTTAATATAACGAGATCATTTTTCTGAAGCATTCTAGCAGAGTAAATCTTACAGTTATTGAACTGACACTGAGGACCAAGCAAGCCACCTCATTTCATTTTCACTGTAACTTCCTCTATAAAGTAGTTAATTCCATTAAATGAAAATCTTTGTGTAAAAATTGAGAAAGTTATGACTGGTTTCTTTAGAAAGAGTGATTCTGGCTTTCAGGGTATTAAACCATTTATGTAAAAATGCTATTTAGCACAATAGTGGTTTTATGTGAAATTACTTTACTGTAATTGAAGGGAAATTGGTCTAAGTAGTGGGTGTGTTCCCTGAACATTGACAAAAAAAAATGTTCGCAAAAGGCACACACTGCTTTGTATAGTTTCATAATGTCCAAGGACATTAGTCATTTGGATTGATTTACAGGGACATTACTCAGCCTTCTCCCCTTTGAATGTAAATTAGGTAAAGCATGGAGTATGTTGAAAGAATGGGGACCTTTCTGGTTGATCTCATTCTCCAGGAAGGAACCAGCCTATAAAATAGCACAGTTGAAATCTTCAATTTGGAAAATTGGTGGAATGAGATAAGAGAATGATTATTTGTGGGTAACTACTATATAAGGTATTTAAGGAAAAGGCGAACTGTTGTTTTCAGGGGATAGTATGAAAGGTATTTTTTATTTTATCACTAGTAGCTCATCGGGCGATATCCTAGGCCGCCCGCCACTTCCGCTTCCGTTCCCCGCTTCCGCTTCCGTCCCGCGCTTACGCTTACGCTTCCGCAGGAGCCGGCGGGAACCGCAGCGTGCCGCTGGGAGCCATGTGGGAGCCAGGAGAGAGCCACGCTGCTGCCGCGGTAGGCGGGCCCGCTGTCTCCTCTCCTGGCCTGCACTCGGCCACGGAGGCTGCAGGCCAGCCCCCTGCCCCTGTCTGTGTCCGCTCGTCTGTGTCTGCTCGGGCTCCGGGGGTGCTGGCCCTCCTGTCTCTGTCTCCGTCTCCGTCTCCGTCTCCGTCTCCGTCTCCCGCTGGGGGCCTCACATGCTCAACCTCCTCCTGTCGGGTCGTAACCCGTTACGATATCCCATAATTTGCGTATTTCCTGTTTTTATAGATATAGGTATAAAGATATTGTACATTTGCCCTGACCGGTTTGGCTCAGTGGCTAGAGCGTCGGCCTGCGGACTCAAGGGTCCCGGTTTCGATTCCGGTCAAGGGCATGTACCTTGGTTGTGGGCACATCCCCAGTAGGGGGTGTGCAGGAGACAAGCTGATCGATGTTTCTCTCTCATCGATGTTTCTGACTCTCTATCCCTCTCCCTTCCTCTCTGTAAAAAATAAATAAAATATATATTTTGGGGGGGGAAAAGATATTGTACATTTGACATTTTCAGTTTTTATGTGTACAGCCAATTTTGAAATGCAGTTTTAATAATTTGGACTTAATACTGATTGCTAGTGTTAATACATAGAACCAGTTTTTATACCACAACTTAATTACCCTGGATTCTTAAATTTTGCTAAGTGCCTCTGTAGTTAGGAAAATGGGTTTGTGTAATTTTTCAAGATTAATTTGGTGTGCTATTTTTGATCCTTTGGGTATGTGAAACTTACCTTTCACTTACATTCATACATGAAATATAATTTGGGTAGGAAAAAAAAATATCAGATTGCAACCTTTTCTTTTTTTCCTCAAGATATTTTGTTCTGCCCTGGCCAGGTAGTCCAGTTGGTTAGAGAGTTGTCCAGTACGATAGTTGTGGGTTTGGTCCCTGGTCAGGGCACATACAAGAATCAACCAATGAATCCTATATAATAAAAGCTTAATATGCTAAGTGTCCAGTCGTCCGGTCATCCGTTCAGCCAATCAAAGCGTAATATGCTAAGGCTATGCTAAGGCCGCTCAACCGCTCACTATGATGTGCACTGACCACCAGGGGGCAGACGCTCTGACCAGTAGATTAGCTTGCTGCTGGGGTCTGGCCTATGGGGACTGAGCAAAGACCGGCTAGACATGCCCTGGAGCCCTCCCGCTGCCCCTCCCCGGCCCCAATTGTTCTCTGGTGGGGTCCCTTGGCCTGGCGTGCACCCTCTCACAATCCGGGCCCCCAAGGGGGATGTCAGAGAGCCGGTTTCGGCCCGATCCTGCAGGCCAGGCCAAGGGATCCCACTGGTGCACGAATTCATGCCCCGGACCTCTAGTACATAAATAAGTGGAACAACAAATTGATGTTTCTCTCTTTCCATCTCTTTCTTAAAGCAATCAATCCTTTTTTTTAACTATAAAAAATACATATTCTGACTTGACCAACATGGCTCAGTGGTTGAGCATCAACCTGTGAACTAGGAGGTCACGGTTCAATTCCTGGTCAAGGAACATGCCCTGGTTTTGGGCTCATTTCTCAGTAGGGGGTGTGCAGGAGGCACCCAATTGATGATTCTCTCTCATCATTGATGTTTCTACGTCTGTCTCTATCTCCCTTCTTCTCTGAAATAAATAAAAAGATATTTTAAAATTTTTGAGGTAAATATACAAAAGTATAGATGTTCTTCCTGGATTAACCAAAATATGAAATGTAACATGTATATTTTCTGAAATAATACCAAATTTCATCTTTAGCCTGAAGTTTGCTATTATCATAACAAGTTTTATTTCTATGCTGTTTACAGCCTGTATCCCAACCAGCTGCAGCTGAACAACAAGCAGTGCTTCTAAAACCAGATTTAGTTCGAAGGTGAGTATCTTCAAATTTAATACCATGGAAATGATAAGGGTATGTTGAAGTATTTTCATTCATTAGGGGCCTGTTGTATCATGACTGAAGAAGATTTTGTGTTCTTGAATTTATGTGTATGTTCAATAAAAATAGTAGGTATAGTTTTTTACTTTATTTTAATGAAGCTCATATATATCGTGAAATTATTGACCATTTTCTTGTTCTCTATAACATTTCTGTTTCTGAGAAAAGCTTAGAAGAATTAATAAAGGAAATAAATAATATAATTTAGAGTAAATTTTCTAAAGAAATAAATTATAATGATATATATATATAATTGTGCTATTATTTGGTAGTTGTAAATTAATGTTTTACTCTGTGTTATTCAGATTGGCTAATTCCTATTACTCTTTTTTCAAGTTCACTGATTCTTTCCTTTGTCCTATTCATTCTGCTATTATGCCCATTCCAATGCATTGTTTTTCTGTCATTGTACTTATAGTTCTATAATTTTCATTTGGTTCTTTTTTAATATCTTCTATTTTTAATGAGGTTTTTCAATTTTTTTTAATGTGCTTCAAGAGTATTTGTAATTACTTATTGAATCGTTTTGATGATGGCTGCTTTAAAATCCTTGTCAGTTACTTCCAATTTCTTATTCATTCTGGTGTTGGTATCTGTTGACTGTCTTTCCACATTCAAAGTGTGATTTTTCCAGGTTTTTGGTATGACAGGGAATTTTCATTTGTCTCCTGGACCTTTTGGATATTATGTCAGGGACTCTGGACCCTACTTAAATATTGTAGTTGATCAGGCAGTCACCCTGTTCTGATGACCACATAGTTTTCACAGTCCTTGGAGAGTGATTCTGGTCTCCTTGGATCACCTGCCGTTCCTGGGCCCCACCTCTGGGTGGAAGAATTGGGAGTACTCTCTAGGCCCGCTGTCCAAGGCCAGATCGCTAGGTCACATGCTGCTGGTGGTGTGGCCACCAGTGTCATCAGGGGGAGGAAAGGGCTTACCTGAACCACTTTCTGCTGCCGGGTTGGGGGTCAGGAGACCACTGGACTTAGGCTGCCTTTGCCTTTGGGCTTTGAGTTAAGAGACACTAAACGTGGACGGCCTTGTGTCACTGGGTAGGTAGATAGAAAGTTGTAGTCTTTTTCCTTAAGTTCTGGGAAGTCCCACAGGAAGTCCTGTGATTGTCTACTGTATTATTTCCAGATTTTTTAGTTGTACTTTGAGGGGAGATGCAGGGAGAATTGAATTTCTGTCATCTTGTCCCAAACCCTATACTAGTTTTTTAAAGTAACTCTGCAGCCCTGGCTAGTGTGGTTCAGCGGTTGGAGCATCGACCTGCACATGGGTCACCGGTTCGTTTCCTGGTCAAGGGCACTTACCTGGGTTGCAGGTTCCATCCCTGGCCCCAACAAATCAATGTATGTCTCTCACATGGATATCTCTCTCTCTCTCTCTCTCTCCCTCTCTCCCTCTCTCTCTCTTCTCCCCTCATCCCTACCTTCCACTCTCTAAAAACCAATAGAAACAAATATCCTGGGGTAACCCAGCTGGTTTGGCTCAGTGGTTGAGCATCGACCTATGAACTAGGAGGTCACAGTTCAATTCCTGGTCAGGGCATATGCCCGGGTTGCAGACTCAATCCCCAGTAGGGGACATGCAGGAGGCAGCTGATCAGTGATTCTCTCTGATCATTGATGTTTCCATCTCTCTCTCCCTCTCTCTTCCTCTCAGGAATCAAAAATATATTTTTTAAAACTTACCCATTTAAAGTATACAGTTCAATCGCTTTTAGTACATTCACAGGATTGTGAAGTCATAACTTTTTAAAAGATATTATACTACTTATTTATTTTCCATAACTCATTATTTATGATTTTAAATTGGGAGGTTTTCTTAGAATTTTAATATCAGGATGAAATTATTCTAGCCATGAAGAAAGTTTATTTGGTAAGTCTGATTGGGGTTAAATATTGGGATTTGAGAATCACAGCAGAATGTCTATTCTGAGAAATTGAATAGAAGTTGCTTCTGTATTTTTAATTACTAGTTTGCAGCATGATGTGGCAGCCGTGAAGGAAAACAACAACACCCCTGATAACCCAAGTGGAAATGGCAAACAGGATCGGATCAAACAGAGAAGAGTGTCCTGTCCTCGACCAGAGAAGGGGCCCAAGTTCCAGCTTACTGTCCTGCAGGTCAGTGTGTGAACATGGGTGGGCTAAGTGTGCACAGAGGTCTGGGGAGTCAGGGAGGGGCAATGTTACTGTGCAAGTAGGGTATTGTGAGACTCTCTATATTAACTTTTCCTTCATTAAAAGTTTTTAATGATAAGAGTATTATGTATTAATTGTTAAACATAGGAAATATAAGGAAAATAAAAATCACTTGTACTGCCCTAGCTGGTTTGGCTCAGTGGCTAGAGCATCAGCCTATGGAGTGAAGAGTCCTGGATTCGATTCCGGTCAAGGGCACATGCCCGGGTTGGGGGCTCAATTCCCGGCGTGGGGCGTGCAGGAGACAGCCGATCAATGATTCTCTCTCATCGTGGATGTTTCTATCTCTCTCTCCCACTCCCTTCCTCTCTGAAATCAATAATAATATATGTTTTTTAAAAATCACTTGTACTTTCAGATATAATACCTGTTAATGTTTTAGTTTGTTTCATCTCTTTTATTCTGTATGTATGTATCATCTTTTACATTAAAATTGTAATAGTACCAGTAATAGTGAAAATGTATTTAACTATTCTGTGGTAGACACCCCTAATGTTATATATTTGTTTTATCATTTAATCCTTTGATAATCTTGTATGATATGTGGTAGTATACTTATCTTTACAAATGAGAACTAGAGAGGTATAGTAATTTGCCCAAGGCCATTCGACTAGCAAGCCATAGTCAGATCTGAAGCCAGATCAAACTGTAAACCCCATACCTCTAATCAATATAGTATAGGTTTTGGGTGGATGCTAAACTTTATATATAATTTTATATCCTGCCTTTTAAAAAACTTAGTATATTATAATATATACTTTACTGTGTCATTAAATACATTTTAATTTTTTTTCAGAACCAATTGTGTCTGTACCCCAAACTTTAAGAGTTTTAAATGTATTTTTATTGATTTCAGGGAAGAAGGGAGAGGGACAGAAAGTAGAAACATCAATGATGAGAGAGAATCATTGATCGGCTCCCTCCTGCACACCACCTACTGGGGATCGAGTCTGCAACCAGGGCATGTGCCCTGACCTGGAATGGAACCTTGACCTCCTGTTCATGGGTTGACATTCAACCACTGAGGCACACCAGCCAGCCTCATTAAGTAATTTCTAATGACATATTTTAAATGGCTGCCTTGCCCTAGCTGGTTTGGCTCAGTGGATAGAGCGTTGGCCTGTGGACTGAAGGGTCCCAGGTTCAATTCTGGCCAAGGGCACATTCCTGGGTTGTGGGCTCGATCCCCAGTAGGGTCCATGCAGGAGGCAGCCAGTCAATGATTCTCTCTCATCATTGATGTTTCTCTTTCTTCCTTCCTCTCTTAAACTAATAAAGAATATATTTTAAAAAATAAAATAATAAAATGGCTGCCTTGGATAGTTCCTTGTATAGAGATAAAATAATTAAATCATGCCTTCTGTTTTTTTTCATTTAGGTTGTTTCTTTCTGTTTATCTCTCTCCATCTCTGTCTTTGCAGCAAACATCCTTGAACCACAAACCTTTGTACATATCCCTGATTTTTTTCCTTGTGTTAGATTCCTAGAAGTAGAATTAGTGGGTCAAACATTATGAAGATTACATGTTGCTAGATCACTGTTTTAGCAACATGTTGGACCAGTTTACATTTTCATTAGCATTGCCAACCTTGCTCAGTGATTGAACATTGATCTATGAACCAGGAAGTCATGGTTCTATTCCTGGTCAGGGCACATGCCCGGGTTGCAGGTTCGATCTCCAGGAAGATGTGTGCAGGAGGCAGCCAATAAATGATTCTCTCTCATCATTGATATTTCTATCTCTCTCTCCCTCTCTCTTCCTCTCCGAAATCAATGAAAAAATATTTTTTTAAACAGAATTTTGGAAATCAATGACCAAATTTAGGTCTTTGCATTGCAGATAGTGATACTGACTATTATAACTTGTTTTTGCCTTGTTATAAAAGTTCTGTTTCCACCTGGCCGGGGTTGGTCAGTGGTTGAGTGTCGACCCATGAACCAAGAGGTCACCGGTTCAATTCCTGATAAGGGCATGCCATAGTTGTGGGCTTGATCCTCTGTAGGGGGTGTGCAGGAAACAGCTCATTGATGTCCCTTCTCAAATTGATGTTTCTCTCCCTCTTCCTCTCTCTAAAAATCAATTTTAAAATCTTTTAAAATATATAATTATTTTTTGCCCTAGCCAGTTTGGTTCAATGGATACCTAGGTTCAAGGGCATGTAGCTTGGTTGCAGGCTCAATCCACGGCCTTGGTCAGGGCACATGTGGTAGGCAACCAATCGATGAGTCTCTCTCACATCAATGTTTCTCTCAGGTGAGTATTAGCAATATATATATAATTTTTTTAAAATGCCATTGGCATTTTGATGGAGATCACATTAAATCTGTATATTGCTTTGGGTAAGATAGTTATTTTAACTATGTTGATTCTTCCGACAATGATTGATTCTTAATCTGGTGCTGAAATGTTTGTACCCAGGTGTCAACTTCTGGAGACAACATGGTAGAGTGTCAGCTGGAGACACACAATAACAAGATGGTCACCTTCAAATTTGATGTTGATGGTGATGCACCCGAGGATATTGCAGACTATATGGTAAGTACAATAAAACCAAATGATTCTCCTTTCAGTCTTCTCTCTTTTTTCCCTGTAACTCTTCCCCCATTTATTCAGAGTCATCTTTTTCTTAGGATACTGTTTTTAAAATTTGTGCAGATCTAAATTGGTTATGATCAAGAGGAAACCAGTGCACCTCCTCTGGTTTCAGTTTATTTATCTGCAAAATATGAAGTGTTTCATTAAGAGATGTTTTAGGAAAGTGGTTCTTTATCCCAGGCTGCATGTTAAAATGATCTGAAGAGGTTTTTTAAAAAAACAGTTCCCTAGGCCCTTAATTAAATCAGAGTCTTTGGAGATGAGGCCTAAGCATCAATTGTCCTATTTAATAAAACCCTAATATGCAAATTGACAGAACGACTGGTCGCTATGATGCACACTGACCACCAGGGGGCAGACGCTCAGCACAGGAACTGCCCCCTGTTGGTAAGTGCACTCCCACAGGGGCCCCGTTGCTCAGCCAGAAGCCAGGCTCACAGCTGGCGAGCGCAGTGGTGGTGGCAGGAGCCTCTCCTGCCTCCGCAGCAGTGCTAAGGACCTCTCAAGGGATGTCCACCTGCCAGGGAGTGGGCCTAACCCAGCAGACGGACATCCCCGGAGGGGTCCCAGACTGCGAGAGGGCACAGGCCAGGCTGAGGGGCTCCTCCCCACCCCCAGTGCACCGGGCCTCTAGTAGTTTATAAAGTTCACCAGGATTTGCTCTCCTTCCCAGGAGCATGCCTATGAACACAACACCTGCCCACCCCAGCTTCTTTCCCAACAGGCATGCATCTCCTGAACTTTAAGGGGCCCCACAAGGTTTGCAACCAGGGCAGCAATGGGCAGTGGCAGTTCATCCCGGGCAAACACCCTGAGCATGTCCCCAAGGTCGTCTTTTCTCTAACTTCTTAGTGAGCCTAAGTAACCCAGTCTAGGCTCATTTCCCCAGCCCTTCCTTGTTCCACTGTCCCCAGCTTAAATAAATAAATAAAAGTTCACCAGTTACTTTTGATGTGTTAGCTACTGCTATAACATGTTATATTTCAGTGTTTTAAGTAATATTCATTATGTCATTTAGTTTTCATATTTTTCTTGAATTGTTAGGCTTAAGTTAGTATTTTCCCGTTTATTTGTTTGTTTATTATTTTTTAATAGAATAGTTTATTGATTTTTAAAGAGAGAGGAAGGGAGAAGAGAGAAACAGAGCATAACATTAATCAGCTGCCTCCTGTATGCAACCCGGACGTGTGCCCTGACCAGGAATCGAACCAGAAACCTCTCGGTGCTTGCAATGACACTCCACTGTGTCACACTGTCCAGGGCATATTTTTCCATTTTTTAAAAATGGGGATGAGCCCGGCTGGTTGTGGCTCAATGGAGCAAGAGGTCAGGGTTCAATTCTGGTCAGGGCACATGCACAGTTGCAGGCTCGATCCCCAGAAGGGGATGTGCAGGAATCATGATCAATGATTCTCTCTCATTATTGATATTTCTATCTCTCTCTCCCTCTCCCTTCCTTTCTGAAATCAATAAAAATACATTTTAAAAAAATAAAAATAACAACCTATTTTAAAAAATGGGAATGGGCTAGGGTGGCAGGAAGAGTACTCAATGCTTTTGTTTTTTGCCAGTTTTCTTTAGAGATATATTTCTGGCCATTGCCTCAGTTATGTCCTTCAAATGACAATCAATTTATAGAATGCCAGATCGTTTTTCAAATGCTGGCTTCTTCTCTGGTAGGTAATGCCAACCTGACAAATGGTAGTGGTCTCAAAATAGAACTAATAATTTAATATCTGGTCTTTGTTAATTCTGTTGTGGCATTTGGATGTAAATAATTAATTTTAATTTAGTTTTCTTTAGGGTAGTAACCATTGATAGGCATAATAATTATAATTTTGAAGACACTGAATTCATTCTCATAAATAGACTTACTTTTACTTTTGGACAGGTTGAAGATAACTTTGTGCTGGATAGTGAGAAAGAAAAATTTGTAGAAGAATTGAGGGCTATTGTAGGTCAAGCCCAGGAGATTCTGCATGTCCACTGTGCTGCAGAAAGAGCCACTGGAGTTGACTCTGTCGCTGTAGAACCCAACAGTGGCCAAGTAAGAACAATTATTTAGCAAATAGGTCTTCTGGGATATGTATCAGGAACTTCTTTATTTACCTATTCATTTTTAATTCAGACAGGGTCATCTGAACAAGCACAGATAAATTCTGCATCCACTCAAACCAGCAGTAAGTATATTTAATAAAATTTACCATTTGGCATTTGAAACGACATTTGGAGACTTCAATTTACACATCTTCATTGAGAAAGATGTTAGCCAATAAAGGAATTAGATAAGTTGTTAAATGTAGGATTTCCCACACTCTGAAAGAACTTCATAGCCCAGAAGAAAGTAGAATAAGAAGTAAAACCATTCTCCAAATTTCCTTCAAGTGTTGGTTCTTTACCTGATTAATTTATTTCTGAGTTGCTGTATCGTATGCTACCAGAAAAGCAGTCATGGTAGTGATGATTTTTAATGGCTTTATTATTTGAACTTGACTGCCAAGTCCCCCCCCCCCCCCCCATCCCTAATGTGAGATGTACAGAAACGTTCCTAACTAAAAGCATTATGTTCAAAGTTTGCCTTGTGTTTTAATAGTCACTGATATCATGATTTCATTCCTCTAGTGACAAGCTTCTCCTTGCTCTGATCACTAAATTTTTGTAAATCAGATACCAGATAAACTTCCAGGGATTAAAAAGGGGGTCCTCTGTTTTCTCTGACGACTTTATCTCTCCATTCTTCTCAGCTCTGGTCATGGGTATATTTAGAGTATCTGGGAGGGGGAGAAAAGCCATAGACAAATGAGGACCTCTGAAGGAATTATAACGACATGAAGAAGCAACAGGTGGTGTGCGAGTCATGGAACCAGATACCATTACCCTGAAATTCAGTTTGTGTTGGAATGCCAGGGTCCTTCTCTATCTACTTTTTCTCATTAGCAGGAGTCTGAACAGATTTCTGGCTGGCAAACTAGGGTAACGTTTAATAGAGATTTACTTATTTCAGTAAGTTTACAAAGGCTTATTTTACTTTATTTTTTTTTTAAGTTGTCATACAGTAAAATTGACTTTTTTCTTTTGGTGTACAGTCCTGGAAGCTGTAATACTCAGTGTAGATTTCTGTAAGCACCATAATCAGGATACAGAACAGGAAATGTAGGCCTTAATGGTAAAAGTACTTTCTTCCTCCCCTCCCCCCCTCCCCCAAAAAAGTGCCTGGCTTCTAACTGCTATTGATATGTTTCTTTCAGAAGAATCTAAAATCTTTCTCTAAAGTCATCTTATGCTTAATTCTTTTTAAAACATTTTTTAAGTTTTTATTGATTTGAGAGAGAGAGGAAGGGAGAGGGAGATTGAACTATAAATGATAGAGAAACATCGATCAGCTGCCTCCTGCTCACCCACTACTGGGGATTGAGCTTTCAACCCGAGCATGTGCCCTGACCGGGAAATGACCTCTTGGTGCATGGGACGAAGCTCAACCAACTGAGCCACACCGGCTGTGCTCTTCTTTTTTTGTTGTTGTTAATCCTCACCCGAGAATATTTTTCCATTGCTTTTTGAGAGAGTGGATGGGTGGGGGGAGAGACAAAGAGAGAGAAACATCGATGTGAAAGAGACAAATTGGTTGCCACCAGCACACACCCCCACCCGGACTGGGGATCTAGCCTGCAACCGCGGTATGTGCCCTTGACTGGAATCAAACCCGGGACCCTTCAGTCTGAGGGCCCATGGTTCAACCACTGTGCCAAACCAGCTGGGGCAGGACCGGGCTATTCTTAATTCTTTAGAGTATTTTTCAGGATTGGGGAGGAGTTCTGGTCTCATAAATTGCACGCATCCTAGTGTTGTTGGAAATGGAGTTACAAGAAAAATTGGTGTTTTAACCTGGTTTCCTTAGTCAATAAGGTAAACATGCTGACAATTGCTTAACATATTAAATTTTCCACAGATGAATCTGCTCCTCAGTCATCCCCAGTTGGTCGGTGGCGATTCTGTATCAATCAAACGATAAGAAACCGTGAAGCTCAATCTCCTCCTTCTCTTCAACAGTCCATATCTACAGTGCCTGGGCTATATCCACTTTCTAGTAAGCATTCATTCTCTGCCAACTTTATCCAGACTTGGAGGATAGGAGTGCGAAATACGGACCGTGTCTCTTTTTTTAAGGTTTTTTTATTTGCTTTTTAGAGAGGAAGGGAGAGGGAAAGAGAGAGAAAGAAACTTCAGTGTGAGAGTGAAGCATCAACCAGCTGCCTCGTGCACAATCCCTACCAGGGATCAAGCCTGCAACCCAGGCATGTACCCTGACCAGTAATCAAACCTGCAACCTTTCGGTGCACAGGATGACGCCCAATGAACTGAGCCACACTGGCCAGGGCTGGACCATATTTTTAACTTGTTTTCATGGGTATTTTGTGCTTATGAGAATTTTCATAATCATTTTGGAAGATGTTAATACCAGGGTGTAACTTAAGCCATTTTTTAAATTTAATATTTATGGTGGGGGGGAGCTTTTCTTTTCCTTCGCAGGTAGAATTGTGTATTTCGAGTCTTTTTTACAAAAGTACTTTCACACAAGTTCTCATTTGCCCCTTGATCTACCTGTCCCCTTTGAGTTTGGGTAGTAGTTCATGCTTTGTGCTTACCAATACATGCTTACTCATTCTTTGTTATTGTTCCAGGTCCAAGAAAAACAAATAATAAGGAAATGTCACAGGACACACTGCTCACTCTAGAAAATAATCCATGCCAGCATGCACTTTTCACCTCCCAGTCAGAACACAATGATGTGGTTGATGGTAAGATTTCTGAATGTGCCAGTGTAGAAACTAAGCAGTCAGCTGTACTTCATCAAGTGGAAGATGACAGGCAGAGAATGGTACCAGTTGTTAGTAGTTCCGCTTACACTGCTACTTCAGTTTGTACAGTTCCAGTTAAATGTGAGGGACCCACCAACCAAGCAGGAACATTTCTACCTGTGCTTCCCTGTCACCAAGCTGCCACTCAGGCTAATGTACTTACAGCACCTTCTGGCGAGTCAACTCAGATTGCTGGTAACTCTCTTAAAACTTCAGCATTTATTTCTGATCAAAGGCCTCAATCCTTATCAGTGCAGCAGCCAACTGTGGATGCAGAGTTTATTTCCCAAGAAGGAGAGAAAACCACAGTGAACACTGAAGCAAGTTCTCCTAAGAAGGTCATCCCCACTCAGACCCCCGGCCTTGAACCGTCTACCCTTCTACCTACTACTGTCCTAGAATCAGATGGGGAAAGACCTCCAAAAATGGAGTTTGCAGATAACCGAATTAAAACTCTAGATGAAAAGCTAAGAAACTTGCTCTATCAGGAGCATAGCATGACTAGCATCTACCCTGACGGCCAGAAGGACACCCAAAGCATAGACTCTCCATTTTCTTCCTGTGCTGAAGATACACTCTCGTGTCCAGTGCCAGAAGTCATAGCCATCAGTCACTGTGGAATTCAAGACAGTCCTGCACAGTCCCCCAGTTTTCAGCAGACAGGCTGTAAGGTTCTGTCCAATGTGGTTGCCAGTCAGCCTGCTAACATATCAGTGTTCAAAAGGGACCTGAATGTGATTACTTCTGTACCCAGCGAATTATGTTTACATGTAAGTATGATTCTTTCTAAATAATTCCTTATCCCTGTGCTTTTAAAAAATGCATTTTTTAAAAATATATGTTTTTATTGATTTCTGAAAGGAAGGGAGTGGGAGAGAGAGATAGGAACTTCAATGATGAGAGAGAATCATTGATCAGCTGCCTCCTGCTTAGCTCCTACTGAGAACCAGTCGAACCATGATTTCCTGGTTCATAAGTCAACGCTCAACCACTGAGCTACACCAGCCAGGCAAAACATTCTTTGCTAAAGTTCTATCCTTCAGAATGTAATTGTCTGTGTCACAAGATTCCGAGGGCACAGGTATTTCAGAAGCCCATCTTACCTGCAGGTGTCCAGAGCTTCTCAACAGATGGCAGACCTATTTATGGTAAGAGCGCCCTCTGGTGAATTAGTTAGGAACTTGCAAGCCAAATCTGTTTTGAATTAATAACAAGAACAGGACTAATTTATTGATTTTGTGGGTAGGAAGAACTTACTTTTAGATTTACAGTTAAAAATGTTTGTTGTTAGTTTCTTTTTCAATAATTTTATGGTATTAATGTAATCTTGTCTTTGTGGGTTTTAATTTCTTTGAAATTTTTCTTTATGAGGAAAGTAAAAATAATCCACAACCTCATGACTTTCTTTTTTAAGTTACATAATGTAGCAATTTAATTTCCATTTTCTGTCTCTTTAAATCACGGAAGTAATCATTATGTGGTGTTTATCTACTATTTGGTACTTAACCCTTCTTTTTTTAAAAATCATTATTGTTGAAAATATTACATATGTCCCCCCCCCCCCCCCCCACATAAAGACACATGAACCGAAAACATCCCAGAAGGCCGAGACGAACCTCACGAAATAGATTGAGCATGGAACACACCTT